ACATCATAGGTTTAACCTGCTTGTGATACTTGGGACTAAACCTGGGGTCTTATGCACACCAGTCAGGTGCTAACACGAAGCTCTATCACTGGTCCTGTAGTGTAACTTTTGAAATTAAAAAAAAATAAAAAATACATTTAGGAAGTGTCAACAGCAGTAAGTATCATCTATTTTGACTTCTTTTTGACGTAATTTCAATGTAAGATTATGCTTATACCTATAAAACATTATTTAAAATACCCTCAAAGGGGCTGGAGAGATGACTCAGAAATTGAGTACTTGCTACTCTTGCAGAGGACTGGGACTCTATTCCCAGGATCCACATTGGGTGATTCACAACCTCCTGCAACTCCAGTTCCAGGGACTCTCATGCCCCTTCTGGCCTTCATGGGCACCTACATGCACATGGTATACATACAGACAAGCATGTATACACATATACAGAGTAATAATAAAAATTTTAATTTGAAATCCCATATAAGAAAGCAGAGAATCCTAGAATTATACTACAGTAATTATTGCGATACTTGGGGCATTTCTTGCTAAACTGAGACATTTGGCTCTGTGAAGATGGCCATATTACCAAAGAAATTATCCTGTTTGACCAGGATAATTTGGTGTGAGAATAATCATTAGGTTGCTTTTGAGGAAGAAATCAACAAACGTAACATCCTAAGACTTGCTTTTTTATGTTACACAAAGAAAACCATCTGATCAAGACATTAACAGAATTAGAACAATTCACTAATAATTTTAAATACTTTAAAACAGTGACAGTGCTAAGCAGAAAGAACACAATTTTGGTCAAACATTTGGGTCACTTGTTCTTTGTTGATGGAACTACATACTCTTCCCAGAGGCAGAGTGTCACCTCCCAAGATTTCTCTGATGTAAAAACACGTTTCCTCAGAGGGAGGAACAACTATACAATCCAGTTTAGGTACAGCTTGGACTCTGGTCGCATCTAGAGGGCTGGGTGGGTCTAGACCGCCTGCACTGGGTGGTCCAGGTTACGGTTATTGATCCCTCATATAGGAGTGTGGAGGAGAGAGGGGAGAAATGGTCACACCATGCTAAAGCTTCACTTCTAGAAATGACCCCCATCTGACCTCCTAGTTCTTTACACCTCCTAAAAGTTTGGGTTGTGGCAATGTGGGGATACAGAAAACCAAGCAGAAATGAAAATCAGAGACCAATACCAAGCCATGGGTATCATGACGGAAATATTTAGGGTAAATTAGCCATTGCAGAAGTTAAACGTTGCCTTAAAAAAACTAAAACAAAAAACAAAAAAAACAACCAAACTTCTATTTTTGTGTGTGTCATGGCACATGTGTGGAGTTCAGAGGACAAATTGTAGGCTTAAGTTCTCTCTTCACTCTGTGTGGGTCCTGGGGATTGACATCAGTTCCTTAGGCCTCTAACCACTCAGTCATCTTGCTGACCCAACCTAACATTGCTATCTCTTACTTAAAATTTGTTGACTACCAATAAAGAAATCTCTAAAATACTTGACAAATTTACTTTTCCCACAAATTTTCCAAACTCTGAGTCGAAAAACAAACAAACAAACAAAAAAAAAAACGACAGTTATGAAATGGGTCTGTCCATTCTGATGTTAACTCATTTTCCCATTTGACTTTTCCAGGACTTTCTCTCTGTATCAGATATTATTGACTACTTCAGGAAAATGCCACTGTTGCTCATTGATGGGAAAAACAGAGGCTCCAGATACCAGTGCACACTGACGTACGCTGCAGGGTATCCATAACAAGTCAGCCCAGCAGGTCAGCCTTTGTGACTCCATCCTCAATGAGGGAAGATCAAGCGACCTTAGGAAATGGTTGAACACTTAGGACCAAAGCAAGTCTCTCAGTGTGGGCACAGTGTTTTGCCCTTCCTTTAAAAAGTGTTTGAAGGTTGCGGAATATCCCATAATTTATTTATTTTCTTCCATGTCTGCGAAGTGTAGAAGTAATTAGGTCCACATATGAAGTCCAAGAGTGGGTTTGCATACTTCATCTCAAGACCTGAGATTCTCAACAATCCATCCCAAAATACTATACTTTCCATACTACAGAAATAATGTGGGGCAAGTTTAAGAAGTACTGAAATGGATCATTTTAGATATCACACATTTTATAATAGAAACTTTATTGTTCTGAGGCAATTTGTTTTTTACACAACTTAAAGTAATTAAAATTTAATTTTTGGAGCAGCAATAACTTAAGAGGCTTCAAAAACACAACTCCATCCTTTCTTATTTGGTTTTGCAGGGAGTATTTTTATGTATTTTTCATATTTGAGATAAATGCATGTTGGGATAACCTCCTGGGATTAAAGTTATCTTTTGCTTTACTCTTTTAGATTCTTAAAACAACTTTATTGTTTAGTCCATGCTGTTATATTTTGGTTTTAAAGTAAATGTAAGCTACAAATCCTCTAAGAAGGAAACAGTTTTAGAATCAGTGATGCAATTTTACTGTCAAATACAATGGGTTTTATGATTCTTCTTTAATCTCCCATATCTATAGCCACAGTGTATCCCCTCCATGCCCATCTTTAAAAGAATTTTCTAGTACTGAAGATCTCCTGGGAAGATGGTGCACACACACACTCCAGCCCACCTCCCTACTAGATACTTCTTTTATTAGTTGGCTTTCATTTAGAAAGCTTGTCATTTGCTCAGTATGGTCTGTGAGCCTGTGATGCATACAGGACACTCAAGTGAGAATGTATGGAAGACATCTGTGCAGCTCATGGTGGCTGGGAGGCAAAAGGAAAGGAAGACCCGGTAATTTCCCTCAAGGAATGCACGTACTGACCTAACACCATCCCACTGGGCTTGTCCTCCTGTGGTCAGTCCTATCACTACCCACTGTTGCCCTGGTGTGTGGATCAAGCCTCTAACACAAGGGCCTTTGAAGATTACCTATCCACACCTCAGCTGTGCTTTTATGCCCTCAAAACAAGAAGTGTGCTGTGACTCCCGTCTCATCCTTCTCAGATTGGATTATAAACCTTTCAAAGCATCTCAACTTTCCTTCAGTTTATAAACCACACTTAATGAGACATACAGTTGGGTTTCTGTTGCCTTACCATTTGTGACTGTATGATGGTGTGGGAGTGATGCCTGCTAAGACAAACTGTGTATCAATGTGAATTTTGGTTGCCCTAGGCTAGCAACAGGTGATATGAAAGTCTTGGTCAGTCATGTGACCACCAGGGTACCCAACAGTATTTTACAGTATTATATGTTGCAAACAGGTTTTTTTTCCCCCCTCTTTTGGTGGTGGTGGGGAGCTTGTGAAAATTCAATAAATTAAAAACATATATTCAGTATTTTAAGACAAATTAGAGTTTGTGTTAGGTGACTGCCCAGCTGCAGGCTAACGTACATGATCTGAGCATGTTTAACAGGCTAGGCTGAGCTCTGATGTTCAATAGGTATTGTCAGTAAATGAATTTTCAGTTCATAAGACATCAGTGTATGATGAGAATTTGCAGTGTTATTCATGTTTAGCAAGCCATAACCTAGTATTCACCGAACACTGACATGCCTTGTTCTTCCAATCTCATTCCTTTGGGACTCTCAGCATCACTTTGTGACTTTTATTGAGAATGTTTTGATTTCTCTGATCTACAAAATTTTCAGGTAGAAAAGAATACTATATACTTTTATTTTCATGAGTTAAAAACAAAAAAGTTATTTTATTTTTTTTTTTTAGAAAGGACCTTAAAAGTCACCAGGTTAATACTGCGGACACACTAAGATGAGTAGGTAGAATGTGGAGATGCTTAACAAATGACAATAATGTTCTACAAAACCTCATCCGTACAAACCCAGAGCTCTCAATTTAGGACCCAGAACTTGGAGATGCTAAAGCTGAAAATGCTGTGTTAATTTCCTCAGTAGGATGCCCAGCAGGGGACTTATAACATCTATACTGTGTAAAGTACTGAGCTAGGTCCTGGGGAGAGAGCAGCAGGACCCTGCAGGTATTTTTATATCTGAAGGTGATGAAGTTGAAGGACATGGTAGATCTCAAAGCATCTACTGGTAGCTCCGATGGCTAAGTTTGTCAACTTAACCGAATTTTAGAATCAGGTAAGGCTGTGTCTGTGAAGATGCTTCCGGAGAGGTTCAACTGAGGGAAGACCCTAAATGTGGGCTGAGTGCCCAGAGCAAACTATCCATCTCTTTGTGCTTCATAATGGCGGATGCAATGTAACCAGTTGCCTCACAGCCCACCACTTCCTCTCCCTGCCATCATCAACCATATTCTCTCAAAGTAGAAGCCCAAACCAACCTTCTTCCTTTAAGCTGCTTCTTTACAGGTGTTTGCTCACAGAAACAAGGAAAGTAGCAGTGGATGACATGAGAGAAAACGTATTTGAATTTCTTAGGGTAAAGGGGCAAAAATGAACCCATGGATAAGGTGTTCGCTTCCACTCCTATGATTGCAATCATGGGATTCTCATGTTTTCAGGATGAGTACATGCTTTCTTTGGGTTCTTTCAATTCTATTCTTCTGCCAGCCTTGCCTATCTGAGCCATGGGCCTTATGATCCCAGCTGGATCTATCACCACTGCTCAGCTCTCTGCTCATGGATTCACATCTTAACGAAAGTTAGGCCATTCAGGGTCCCTCTCTGGAAAGAAAATCAGTTCTTTTTAGCCACACCCCGCAAAGGCAAAGTTGTCTGCTGCTGCGCTACTACCACCTTCTACCCAGCACATGGAAGAAGCCTGTCCACACCAGAGAACAAGGCCAGCACATCAAACACAGACAGCTCAGTTTCCAGTATCAGACTTCCAGCATTAGTGTAAGCAGTTTCCCTTTGAGACATTAAAATAAAGCAAAAACAAAAAGATCAGTTCTCAAGAAGAGGAGAGGCTTATTTATAATTTTATACTGTTTTAAATTACGCTAATAAACTTAGTTATTCTAGATTTTTAAGTCAACAAAACCAGAAATTTAAAACAAATAGAAAAAAATTCAGTCAGATAAACTGATAGAAGCAAGGGCTACATCTGGTATCTCAGTCTCTTCAAGTGAGTGGCTTGTTTCTGCTTCCTTGGGGTTTTCAGTCTTCTTGGGCTGACCAAAATGGAGATTGAGGTCACACAGCAGGATATGGGAGAGTTCTGTGTAAGGAGAAGACATGGTGGCACTGGTGTCATGACAACTAGTACTGCTTTAAAGAGCTATTTCCTAATTTCTAATGACATTTTCAAATATTTCCTGTTCAAGCTACTACTAAGGTGTGACCCATTTTGATTGAAAACCATGGGTAGAAAGGCCCTCCGCCCATCCACCAGCTATCTTCCTACACTGCAACACTGTAGAAATATATCTTAAACTTAGCTAACTTACACGTGCACACAGTACACAGAATAGGAGCCACCACAAAGATATTACAAAGACAGGCTTCTTGTTTCAACTTTCCCTGTCATTTTCTTAGGTTTTATGTGTGTGTGGTGGTTTGCCCTCCTTTGGTGGTGTGCTGATTAATCTTTGTTAACTTGGCACAAACCCATAACTAGGAAGAGGGGATTTCAACTGAGGAATTGCCTACATTAGACTGGCACAGACACGTGCCTGTGGGGGCATTTTCTTGATTGGTGAGTGATGTGGATGTGAGCAGTGCCATCCCTGTGCAGGTGCCTAAGTGTATAAGAATGCAAACAGAGCAAGTCAGTGAGCCACATCTCTCTGTGCTCTCTGCTTGGGTTCCTGTCCTGACTTCCCTTCATGATGTAAACTGCAGGTGGGATAAACCCTTTCCTCTCCAAGTTGTTTTGGTCATGATATTTAATCATGGAAACAGAAACCAGACTAAGACAGGGTGGGTGTGAGTATGCTAGTATTTCTCTGTATCTCAAGACATTTTTTCCTTTCTATTTCTGCCATTTGCTCCTGACTAAAGACATTCTTTTACTGACTCCCCACCCCTTCAAATATACCTGAAGAGGAAAGCTTTTATTAACTCACTATTTAACCTGCAATTTTACTTATATAGGTCCTCTTCACAGCTGGATTTTGTAGTTACATCATCCCACTCTGGAGGAAGGGGCAGGCTTGCTCCTAACTATACTTGTTTTGTTTTTTAATCAGGAACATGATACCGCAAATGTCTCCTAGTTAGTAAATTGCTTTTCTCCCTATTTAGAACTTGGCCATTGCCTTATTACAAGTCTCCTCTCCCCCAATATATTTATTTTACAGTAATGGAGGTTGAACTTGGGGTCCTGTGCGTGCTGGGCAAGCCTTCTATCATTGCTACATGGCCCTCATGTTTTTATAAGGAATGGAGAATTGCTGGAGCTGTCGGTATAAAGGCTTATAAAAAGATATCATAGGCAGAAATAGTGTCTGTGTGTGGCCACCTCAGGAGTAATGATGAGCAGCAGAATACACGGACAGTATACAGTATACAGCACAAGATGGAAAACCCTGGCCCAAGTGAATTATTCCAGGGCTGCCCTCACTTCTGACTGCCTCTCTCCTGGCGTGCATCACATAGGTGGTATCTGTTACTTGCAGCTGCAGGTCCCAAAAGTGACACAGAAAACATCTACAGGGTTGTAAGAATAACTTTACACTCAAAATAGGTTCCAGGGATAGGAATGGGACCTATAGATGAAGAGAGTCAGGGTACAGATCCCAGCTAATCCCTGAGGAACTTTCGAAAATGAAATAGGTTAACTGATGAGAGAGTTCCCCAGCATGCTGTGGGGAGAGCTTATCCCTAAAAATATTCAACCAGAGAACGTTCACATGGCTAGGAGTAAAACAGGAGAACACATCATGACCTTTAAGATCTATTGTTACACTAAAAATATATTTAAAATGACAATCATTTCACTTATAGATTCAAACTTTTAATTCTTAATCTGGCAAAACCTCAGGGGCTTAGTAATGAATGATTCATGGATAAAGACACTGAATTTTGTGGAACATGGTAGTCATCTAACTGTGTTGAAGGAAGGGAAATTTAGTCAGGTAGATAACTTAGTGGTGTCGGAATAGGGATTCAGGCCTAGCACCTTCAAACACATGGTTGAGATTATACTGTAACCACTTCTTATCAGGACAATTATAATCAGCAGAGAAACTGCCCTAGCTGAAGCACAAATTAGCTCTACCGTGTCTTGCATAGCAGTGGCGTGCAAACATATTAACCAAGTCTGTCCTTACCTTTCATCTTCTTCATCTCCAAAGAAATTGTATTAATGTTCTTAATCATGGCTTCCACTCTTTGCTTATGGTCATGATGATTATTCTTCAACATCTGATTATAAAAGAGAAACCAGAATGGTGTACAGAGCAGAGCTATTTTTGTGGGAGGCTGGTGAGGTGACTCTAAATCCAGTTCTCAACACTCACACTGGGCATCAGACTCCCACAGCTGCAGGGGACCCAATGGCCTCTTCTGGCCTTTTCAGATACCCATGCACAAATGGCACAAACACACACAGTTGAAAATAAATTTTAAAAAGTTATTTTTAAAAATAGTCATGTGTATTTTAAAAAATAATGTAACTTATAAAAGAAAAATTTAAACTAAAATCATTGTCTTTCCTAAATGGTTAGGGCAGTTACAACCTAGGGAAGCATCAACTGGTTTTGTTTTTCCAGGTTTCAAGTGGAATTATATCTGGAAACAACTGCATCTGGAATTCTTGGGGTGAAGTTCCTTCTCTATCAAACCACATCCACAAGATGGGGCCCTTACAATAGAAACAAAGTCTCCTCTACAGAAATCCTGTGTTTACAAACTACCTCACAATTCAGCAATCGTGTGGGACCTTTCCTAATTTCATGTTAGCCAGTGTCTTGACTCTTGAATGACAGTGCCCACTTGCAATTTCTTTAAAATGAAAAGTTGATGTGATAACACAGAATTTGTCGACAAGGGTATATCTAAAAATGTGTATAAACCACCACATTGTGCTATATAAAGTACAGTAAATATATCTAACCGAGGCTGTCTGCAGAGAGATGGCTCACTAGATACTAACATTTTAGTCAAACCCCACAAAATGACTTGAAAAATAAACTACAATTAATTAGCCCAGGCCGCTCCTGCCATCTAAACGCTGGGAAGTTACACGCCGGTCAGGACTGTTGGAACAGGATAATGAAATCAAACCACCAAGTTGGACCTTGTCTTTGTCCTTTCCTGAATTCCCTCACACTCCCTTTACAAGAGCTGCAAAATTTTTTTCTTTTCCGGACATTAATGAATAAAACGCACTTTGCATCCACCTCTATGTCCCTGAATAGTAACACAAGAATGCCAATAATAACCTCACTTGGACATGCCAAACCCAGGTCTCGGGTTTGGGGAGGGGGGGGGGGGAACATGGCTGTAAATAAGTATAAAACTTAATACTGATAAAATAAGAAAAATGAAACTAACAGGAACTGAGCCCCACACAGTGGGTAGGGGAGTGAGCGTCAGAGGGCTTAGGGTGCCAAATCCTAGAGGACTGGCGTCGGCTCAGCTTAACCGTTATTCAAATGACGTCTAACTGGACACAGAAGATCCAGGCTCAAGGACTAGATGGTGTCAGAACCAATATGGCGCACACGCGGGCATGACGTCACTAACGCCCTTCCCCCTGCCCTGGGCCCAGCTTGAGTCCTCAAATATGATAGAGGGTTTCGGGGACAGATTCTGTTCAGAGGTCTTCTTCCTGGGCCCCACCAACACCCCCCGAGGGCCTCTGCTCTCTGGGGGTCACCGAGTTCCCGCTGCCCATGCCCTGCCCAGCAGCTGCGGACAGGCCTAAGGCAGCCTGGAAGTTTCCACAGCCCTCACCCACCCTGCGGGTACCTGTTCTCCAGCCACCCCTCAGCCTGGAAATTGGCCTGGTGACCGAATGGTTTCAAATAACTCACCTTTCCAACTGCTTACCACAAAGAAAAGCGTTGCCGCCCTTAACGGACCTTGTACGCAAGCACGCAAGCACGGCTCCTCAACAGACAGCCAACTTGGAGAGATGGCAGGGAAACCAGGATAGGCTTCCTGATTGGCCAGAGTCTCCGCCTGCATGATTGGCCAGCGTCTCTGCATGCAGCATTCTGATTGGGTAGTGTTTTCACCTGTGGCATTCTGGGAATTGTAGTCTTAAATAAGCAAGTCGAGGGCAGATTCTGAATTCTAGACTGCAAGTGAAGCCTGAGAGTGCCAACAAGGCCTTATCATTTTCTGCTTCCTAGGTGCGGTTTACCTGTATTTCTCTTCCCACAGTGCAGTGCTGGAGCTAGTGGCGGATTCTAGATTGATTCTTGTGGTTTGAAGCCGAATTTACCACTCCTTCAGTTGAATAGATACAGATAAACCCTGCAACCCCCTGAGACCAAACCCCTCCTCCATCTTATGCAACAATAAAAAAAACATGGTGGAATGATATTCTGAGGGCTGAGATAATTTATCAGAGGTGTTTGGTGGTTGATAACTGTCCCATCCATAATGGTTTGCTTTTTTCTTTTCTTTCTGTCTTTCTTTTTTTCTTTCAAGAAATTGTTTCTCCGTGTAGCCCTGGTTTTCCTGGAACTCACTTTACAGACCAGTCTGGCCTGGAACTCTCAGAGATTCTCTTGTCTCTGCTGGGATTAAACGCATTTGCTGTTATCGTCCACCTTGCTGATGTCGGTCTTATAAATTTTTCAAATGCGTAGGCTACAGATGAGCTGACAGATACAGCGGTTTCTTGCCAAGTGGAGAAGCTGGGATTCAAGCCATCTTTGCTTGCTTCCAAGAGGAATCCCTGCCATGACACACTCAGGCTCTGGCCCAGGCATTTGACCTGGTGCTCTGGGCTATTACTCTAGACCTGCTGAGATCTTAGGTCTCCAGCACCAGGTGCTAGAGCGTTCTGTTTCCTCCAGGCCTCTCACACGGTACAGGCAAGCTTTACTGAATCAGTGCCTTCCTGACAAGCCACAGCAGAGTCTGTTGGTCATTTTGAATTTAGCCTACCTTCCGTTTAACCATGTAGAATTTGTCTGATGCCGTTTTCAGTAGATGAGGAAAGCGTAGGAGAACTGAGCTTCAGTCCCGATGGTAGCTAGCTGTGTGGTCCTAGACAACTTACCTTTTTCTTCTGAGCCTTCCTTTCCTTGTTGGGATTCCTTGTGAGAGGCACAGGGTAAATTTCACTCATGGTTGGGTTAACATATAACAGCCTATGGCAGATAATATTATTGTGGCACCTAAATTATTATTACTATCTCGTCTTAAACTTCCCCCCCTTTAAATTTACTTTAAAAAATTATACATCACCAGTATAAGTGAAATAAAATGTGACCAGAAGGTAACAGGCGAAGAGAAAGCGAATGAAAATAAGACAATATTTTACATTTTGTGAGCTTGCCTCTGGATGCTGTGTCTTCAGAGTCTGATCTTTGTTTAAATGGGTTCTTATTGATGAGGAAAGTGTCACAAACTGAGACTTCCATCTGAATGGTATCAGAAAGAGTGAAAGAACTGGAAGAGGAGTAACTCACTGTGAGTCTATGCTGTTTGATGCCCATGTGCCCGAATAAGCATCCTTCATATTACTGGAGGGATTTCTTCATGCATTGGGGGATCCCAGATTCGATGCTCTCTGACAATCCTTCCCTTTCTAAAGCTTCCTAATCCTCAACGAGCTAGAAATAAAATTTCAAATTCCTAGAAATAAACTTCCTGAATCAGCCCTCCACAGTGCTGTGGTTAATACAGTTTCCTGTGCCAATATTCCTCTTGCTTAATATTTTTAATGCAATACTTCTGTTTGGTACTCCCTTAATAAGTTTAATGTAACTACTTGATGTCTTATCTCTGTTTGGTAATCTGAATTATGAGAATATAAGTAGACACTAAAGAATTGACAACGGGTGTTCTCTGAGCTCTGTGTGCCATGTGTTATGCTAGGAGCTTGACCCTGATAGCTCTGAAGCAGCTATTATCCCAGCTATATAGAAAAAGCAGAGTATTCTCACACAGCTTAACTCCTGCCCTGCTCAAGTGTCCACAGCCAGGAAATGGCAGAACCACAGAATTCATCCCGTGTCTGTGACTTGGTTCTTCTGTTATTTTCTCTGCACGATGATGGCTGCTTCCTCGGCCAGATTACACCTGCTGGGCTGGATTTTTGTCCCTATCAAATTCTTGTGTTGGAAAGCTAGCCCCTAGCCCTTCAGAATGTGAGCCTACTTGGGGTGCATTTAAAGAGGTCATTGTGACTTAAAGCAGAGAGGGCTTAAGGTTAGACAGCATCACTTTGTAATAATACCTTATACGGAGAGGGACTCTAACAGGCAGAAAGAACCAGGAATGATCACACACAGAGTAAAGATCCTGCGAAGAGACAGAAGAAAGGAGGCTCTCTGCAAGCCAAAAAGTCTCCAAAGGTGACAGCATCCCTCTGGCCTTGACTTCCACCCTCCGGAACTACAAGTGGCTGTTTCTGCTGTCCGAGGTATTCTATCAGTGGTGTCGTGTCAGGACTGCCTGGCACATGGATAGACCATCTTGTGATGGAAAATGACCCAGCCTGCTTCCCAAAACTTTTAATTTCAATTAACCACTGAACATAAATATACACATAATAACAAACACACAGGCACACAAATGTATGGTGGCCAGCACAGAGTGAGTGACATTTGTTTTCTGAATCAAGGACATCAACAATAATAAAATAAATAGAACTAGCACTAGTGTGTTCCAAAAAGCAAGGCTAACTTAGCAAGAAACAGTTTTTCTTCTTAGGAAGAAAACAGTTTCAGAATAAAATTGACTTAGGAGAAGAGCTTACTGCCTGCGCCCTCCTCTTCCCCTTCAGGTATGTTGGAAAATCCCTGCAGATAACAGCAGGAGAAAAGGGGGAGGGGATACTTAAGAAGAACTATTTGTTTGGTAGGTGTGCTGAGATAGCATTGCAGTTGGAGAACCCTGAAAGTCAAGTGGTGATGAGGGTTGAGACTGTGTAGGTGTGGGGCTCTGAGCATACTGAACCTATTTCAGAATCTTTCAGTAACTGCCATTGTCTCACTTCCTGTGCTTAAAATACCTCTTGCCGGACTAACAGAAACTTCGGTAACCTCTGTAAGCGGCCTGCCTACACACCCGCTCTGAACCCCTCCTACTATAGGGGATTGCCATGACTGGCATTGGCAGTGGCCCATTATCTGTTACTCACAAAGAACTGACTTCGTATTTCCTTTAAATAATCATCATAGGAGGATAGACGGACGAGAAACTCTGAAGGGGCAGCTATGGCAAGCCACTGCCTTAGGTGACAATGACAACTGACTGCAGATTCCTTCCTTAAATAGCTACACAGCTATCTTCTGTCTTTGTGGAATTTTTCTCCCTAAGGAAATAAAACCATAAAAGCATGATCAGCTCCTTACAGCCTGGGGTTCTTATAGTTGAGAAAACAAAGCAAAACAAACCTATTGTCTTTATTAATTTGGTAGCAGAACTTTACCAGAAACCAGC